TAATAGCTTCTTTATATCTGTCACTAAAGTCAATAGTATCTGGGTAACCATAGTCTTCTTTAAGCATTTTTAAGAATTCTTGGTTTCCTTGTTCTCTACTTCTTTTATGTCCTTGCTCTGTTTGTGGTTGTTGTGCTGGTTGTGGAGGTGGTTGTTGTGCTGGTTGTGGAGGTGGTTGTTGTGCAGGGTTTTGAACTGTTGGTTGTTGTGCTGGTTGTGGAGGTGGTTGTTGTGCTGGTTGTGGAGGTGGTTGTTGTGCAGGGTTTTGAACTGTTGGTTGTTGTGTTGGTTTTGGTGCATGCCTGTGTCTGTGTCCATGTGACGATGTAAATGTTTTAGGTAGTCCTGGTGCAGGTGCTTCTCTTGGAGGGTTTGGTGGTATATAAGTTCCATTAGCTAGTATATAAGTTCCAACAGCTGGTATATAAGTTCCACCAGCTGGCACATATGTTCCATCTGCAGCGTAATGTCCTACCTGACTTTTCGTTTTTAAGAAAGCATTTACTAGGTCTGTTTTGGTCTGTTGTAACTCTTTTTCTTGACTTTTCACAACAGTTGCTCTAACGGCGTCATAGGCACTTTGAACTGCCTGTCTCGTTGCTGCATCTGTTATTTTCGTCATATTTTGTGCTACTTCTTTTAACTCTTTGTCGAAACCTTCAGACTTCAGTTTCTTTCCAGATGAGAAATCGTTCACTTGTTTCACCTTACTATGAAGAGCTTCGAAGGCGTTCTTAAAGTCAGCATTTGTTAAAGCTTCATTTGAACTGTCTTCATCTGCTTGTATTTTTGTCCTTATTGACCCTATAAGCTGGGCTGCTTTAGCGTTGGCTTGGGCATCTAACCAGTCATTGTTAGCTTTTATATATTCTGCGCTTTTCATTGCCTTTTGCATGGCTGCGTCGTTATTTTTACTTTCTTGTGCTAAGTTTTCATACTGTACGGTTTGGTTTTGCAACTGTAAAAGTTTTTCTGCCTTTACATTTGCTTCAACTTCTTTTTTATACTCATCGCTATCCATATATGTCTTCAGGGCTTTTTGTTTTATCTCTTCATCTTTCAGTACTTTATATCGAGTAGTATGGTTTTTCAAATTTACAACATCTTGTTCCATTTTTGCTACTTCTGCTGCTTTTTCTGACACTTTTTTCGCATATTCCTCTGTACTTAGTTCTTTCAGTTGTTCTTCTTTCTTCTTTTTCTCTACGTTTAACTCATTGAGTTTCTTTGTGTGTCTGTCATATTCTAGTTTCTTTTCGTTTTCACTTATTTGCTTCTGTATGTCTATGTTTGACTTTTTGACATCTGTTATTTGATTTTTGAGTGAACTCAAATTCATTTGACTTTGAGGGTTATATGCTGTTCCGTCTGCAGCTCCACCATAGCCTGCCATTTTCGCTAAAAGTGCCGCTCTTAAACCTCCACTCTGTGCACCAATGACTCGGTTTAAAAGCATAGGATTGTTTGACATTTGTTGCAACATAGTGGGGTCATTCAGCATTTGTTGTTGCAACTGTTGTTGTGGTGTCAGTTTTACTTTTGGATGTTTCAATGCTCCCTTCCTCTTACGTATATTCTTACGTAGCTTACGTGGCATTTTAAGTGAAGTTAAAAAGCGGCTTTTGACAGATGTTTATATGACACTTTCTCCGGTTTATAGGACCTCTCTCATATTCTATCTTATCGTAAATAAAACTCACAGTCATGTATATCCTCTAACCATCTCATAACGGTTTCCAAACCACTTTTATCGGATGTAAAGTAAAAGCATGGATGGTTATGTAAAACGTCTAAAGTTTCTAAAGAGTCTCTCAAAGTATATTTCTTTGAACGCCCGTAACTTTGAGAAGCGACGATAGACCCTTACTTGTCCGGACATAGTTCTACTATTTTGAGTCCTCTACCAAAAAGTCAACAGCAACGACTTTCAAAAATTTTTAGGGCTAGAAGGCACGAAGTGCCTGGGAAGCCCGCTTCACCCAAAAAAACCTCATTTTATATAAACTGCATGTTATACTAAACATCTTCAGGGGGCTAGAGGGGCGCAGCCCTGGAAGCCCCAATACCTTTTTTTTTTATCGAATGTTCTTTTATTCACTTAATAACATTATAAATAAGAAAACTCTTGAACATGTTACAATACAAATATTCAATGAAAATAAGTGTCACTTTTCAAAATTTTATATTCCTTTTAATGATCACAAACAATGACTTTTTATCAAACCAGCGAACCTAAATCTTTTAGAGTTGTTGGAACTGGAGAATTATCTCAACTTTCTGAACATTTTGATGCTAAAAAACTTTTTTTCGAAGGTTATTCTTCGACAACTAGATATTGTTTGTCTAAATATACAAATCTTGTGAATGTTTCTTTTGATGATAAGCTATTTAATATTTCCGATCAATTACTTTCAAAAACACAGGTTCAATATTTCAATATTCCAAAAAATGTTGTTGCAATTAACGGGAATCCATTTGATGAAGGAAGTCCAATGAAAAGAATTACTGTAGATCCAGAAAATAAATTCTTTATGGATGTTGATGGAGTTGTTTATTCCAGAGATATGACAATTTTATACGTTTATCCTGGAAATCACGGAGAAAGTTTATTTGTTGTCCCAAACACAGTAAAAATTATAGAAGTTGGAGCATTTTCGTTATCTACTATGCTCAAATATGTTATTATTCCTAAAAGTGTCAGATATATTAAAGAATATCAATTCATAAGAATGGATTCTATTGAATTCGTTGAAATTCAGAATTCGAAAAATAACATTTTCCTAAATGAGTATAAGCTATTGTATCAAACAAATAAAAATGCATCAATAATACATTATGTTCCAATCATGATACCTAGTTGCAAGAATTTTCTATTTTCTATGTCATTTCACTTCATTTTATATATTACCCTATTCATAATTTCATAAAAACTCTTATAAGAATTATTTTTCCATTAGTATAGCATTTACTATCAATAAATTCTGAATATTGACTACCAAAAGATTGTTTTTGAAGTGTTCTATCTAAATACTTTAATGTTTTTATGCCAAAAGTTTAACTACTTTAATTAAAATGTATAATTAATTTTTTTTAATTTACAACTACAAATAAAGTAAGGATACAAAAATTAAAAGAAAAAATAAAATAATTAATAGGACATGTAAAAACAAGTGTTTCATAGTAAGAAATGCTGGGATTTTTGTGCTCATTAAAATTATCTCATTACGTAAAAAATTCAATACATCTTGGTCGAATGACCATTTCGCAAAATGAATAAGTTGTTTAAGATCAAGTTTTTTCAGGTGAACATAAGGGTTTCGTTTTGCGAAAAAAACGTACAATACGCAATTTCGCTAAAAAACATTTAGCTAGCAATTTCGACCTTTGACTCCACTCAAGACGTCACTTTTTTAATTTTGCGGTATCATATTTTTGGAAAATCTTTATGAATATTATATGAAAAGTCTCTTTAATATCTATATTTCATATTTTTATCGATTTTTAAAGTTTTTGCGAAAAGTATTCAATTATTTTTGCTATTTGGTCGGGTAAATGTCAGATTTGCGACATTTTCTGATATGATATTCAGATTCTACGTTGATAATAATGCTTATAGTGTAATAAACAGAAATTCATCAAAAGTGACAGCTCTCAATTTTTTGACATTTGTAAATTCTAAATTGAATGAGAAAAATGAAATAATACTAAGCATAATACAATATTCTAGATTTAATTATAATTAGGAAAAAGTTAGTTTTGAGAGTACTTTTCATAGGCATATAGAATGAAATCTTCTGAAAAATAATATCACATAAACGCATATTATTTTCTAATATATAACTATTTTATATAAAAATCAAATTCAATGATCTTAAAAGCGAAGGATAAACCTCAAAATTTACGAATATAATGAGTGGGAATAGGCGTAAAGCAAAAATTGATATTTCATATGGTTTTATGATAGATAAGCATTATATTCGTAAATTTTGAGGTTTATCCTTCGCTTTTAAGATCATTGAATTTGATTTTTATATAAAATAGTTATATATTAGAAAATAATATGAGTTTATGTGATATTATTTTTCAGAAGATTTTGTGTTCTTCTTCAAAATTTTATTTTTTTATTAAAAAATCTTTACAAAATATACATTTACTTTAATTAATATTTAAAAACGTGCTCTATCAAAAGTTCCAAAAATTCAATATTTTAGCTTTTCTGAGGTGTCACTTTTGATGAATTTCTGTTTACAACAATAGAACCCTCTTGCTATTGTGTCAAAATTGCGAAACCGATAGCAAAAATATCTCGCAATATCAAAATTGAGATATTGAGTGAATTATGCATTATAGAGATTAAAAATCTGATTTGTGAAAACATCTCATCAGTTTCTAGCTAATTCAAAAATCTTTACTATCTTATTCGATTAAAATGAAAAGGGAATAGTTTCATTATGCTTTAAATGACAGCCTTATAATATAATCATAGTTTTCGCTCAATATGCAGCATTTTTTTTCGAAATCTATGGTCAATATCCTAAACACTGATTGCTTTGCATTCATATCTCTTACATTTTCTATACCCACATCACTATTCATTGCTATTCCTATCTTTTTCATTTTTGTTTGTTTCTCATAATTTCTCAAAAAACACGATAACTTGATATTTGTAAATATCATACTTTATAACGTAAATAAGAACTTGACCTATTAAGAAAAGCAGTAATGAAAAGAAAATCTGAAATTCATAAAAATTACAAGTTTCTGATGACAATTAGCTTAATTAAACCAGGTACAAGATTATATAATTGTATTTTCTATCCAATTATCCATATAATATCTTATCCAGAAAAAATAACTTGATCAATACCAAATGATTTTTTAACTAGTAAATAAAGTATTTTCTTTACACACACATTGTATATCATAGTTTTTTTTTGGTTTCGCAAAACATCCAAAAACAAATATGCTATAAAAGTGACAATTTTAGCAAAACGAAACCCTTATTTGAAATTTACTAAAGAATCAAAAACAGAAGTTGAAAGAGAAACACCTAATGGGAAAATAAGATTCCTCATATTGGAATTGTTGTAAAAAGCATTTTCTTTGACACTTGTTATTAAATTCTTAAAAACAATTGTTGTAATTTTTGGATGATGTTCAAAAGATTGTTCTCTTAATATTCGAGTGCCTGGATGCGGATAATATATAGTTAAGTTTTTTGCCCTTGGAAAATGAATCAACTCTGAATAATCTTTAGTATATAACACTCCATTGAGAGATGTGAAATATGGATTATTTTCATCAACAAATATGTTTTCTAGTTCAGACATTACAGTAAAAGGATTGTATTGATGAATTTTTTTAATTGATTTAGGTAGAAATAGTTCTTTAATAGGAGTGTGAATAAATGGATCATCTTCAAGAACTTCAACACCATCCATAAGTGTGATGTTAGTAATTGATGGATAATCAATGCATTTATTAGGTAGAATTTTACAACTTCCATCAATAATGAGTGATGTATATTGGCTGTCAATATCTCGTTTGGATAAATTTCCATTTGAACAATTTAATGTTATTACACTAATGGGGAATTAAGATGTTTGTAAATATGATAAATTTGTCACTTTTCTAAAATTTTAGCTGTCATTCATTCCAATTGATAATGAAGCAAATACATTTCGTGTTGTTGGATCAGGACAACTTGTAAAGTTAAATGAGCATATCGAAGCCGTCAAACTTTGTTTTGAAGGTTTTACATCTACTTCTAATAGTTGTTTAATCAATTATAAAAATCTTATAAATGTTTCATTTGATGATTCCCTTACCTCCATTTCAAATTTTTTTCTTTATGGTACTCGAGTTGAATATTTTAATATTCCTAAAAACGTGAATAAACTCTATGAGAATCCATTTGACGAAGGCCTTCCAATAAAAAGGATTTCTGTTGATCCTGATAATAAGTATTTTATAGAAAATAATGGAGCCCTCTATTCCAGTGATATGAAAACATTATATTGTATTTTTGGAGGAAATGGAATGCAATTTTTTGTTGTTCCTAATTCAGTTGAAAAGATAGAAATTGGCGGAATTTCAAAGTCTAATACTTTAAAATACATTATAATTCCATCATCTGTTAAAATCATCAATAGTTTTAATTTTATTCAAATTCCATCCGTGGAATTTATAGAAATTCAAAATTATAATCATTCTATTTATATTAATCCTCTTGGACTTCTACGTGACTCACCTAAAAATAACACAATTATTCATTATATACCAATTCATATTCCTAGTTGCAATACTTATTGTTATGCTACGCTTTGGTGGGTCACCTTATATTTCCTTATTTTTTGATATAACTATTAAGTAAAAATATGATCTATAAGTATATTACTCAAATCAGAAATATTTCATTTTTATAATTGAACTGATTCTCTCAATTTTTCATCGATTTTAAGGTACCAAGCTTCTGATTTAGATTCATAGGACAATACTTATATAATATTATGTCGCAAGCAATTTCAGAGATATTTCCTAAGAATTTGAAATTATTTCAATTTTTCCTCTAAAATGCTTTGAATAAGTTTAAGGGTGCGCTGTAGTCTGTAAGTAAACTTCAGAATTTTTTTTGACATGATTTTTTTTTCTTGTTCGAGACCTATTTTGGTACCTTCGAACTTGAAGATTTTTCGCAAAAAATGAAACTTCATCTATTTCATTTATAAGCCAAGAGCAGCAAATCTATACAGAATCACTACGAAGATTTTGGTTTTTTCTTCAAATTCCAAAATAAAATTAGCCGTTACAACAAATACAAATCAAACATTCGGTAAAGAAGGCTGCAAAATGCTTCACGTATTGAATATACAGCAGCTTTTTATGTTTATTTAAATTACGAACTTCAATCTAATATATTATTTTCCGTTACTTCTTCTATTTTTCAAATATCACACTTCAGATGAATAAAAACTTAGTTTTAAATATACCTTACTTAATATAATTCACTAATTTTTCAAAATTTATATAAAATAATTTTATTTCATATACACATCCTAATTATATTATAAACTTCATATATTGTAAACATAGATATTTTCAAGATCAAATCAAGCCTTAAACACAGCATATCTTATTAAATTTGTTTGATAGGTAGGAATCTAATAGTTTGTATGCATATTACAAGCTTTAGAAATATCTATTTCGCCCAACGAAATTTATATATCTCATAATAACCCTTCCAAAACTCTATTTACAAGAAGATTTACTAATTTTTGAGAAAATTTATTTTAGCTTGATTTATAGCAATACATGAACAATTCTGCATCCATAAATCAAATATTATTGAATTTCAGGGAAGGAACCGTAATTATAAAATATGACCATTAATTAGTCATGAGTTTGGGAAAACTTTGTCATCCCAAGCATTTAGATTTATAAATAATTCTAATAATATAATTTAAATTCGAAAATAATTTCGCCGTTTATAATCGTAGAAAAAAATTAAAAAATCCAAAAAAATCTTAAAATTTCAAAATACCATGGTTTTAGAGTAGTCATGTGATTTTATCCCAAGCATATGGGGATTCTAAATTTTTGTCCCTATCGTTATCCCAATTGAATTTTTTTGGAATTTAAAAATTTTTTTCTCCATGTAAACTTAAATTTTAATTTTTACCACTAAAATGCAATATTTCAACAAATTAATGAGTAATAATATTTTAATTTATAATAAATATTATAAATCTCCTCAATTTAATGTAATTATTGTATTAATTTTTGTTGAAAATATAAAATCTTCAAGTAAATGATGTGAATTTAATATTTTTAGAATGTTGTTTAATTGTACTTTATTATGCATGTAAAATTTTGTTACAATACATTTTATATGGGATCCCCATTGCCCAATTGAGAGAAAATTGAGAGGTGGGATTGGGCTAGCCCAATTCAAAATATCCCAGGTGGAAATAAAAAATTAACAATTCAACATAAAAAAGCATCTTAAATAATAATGATAAAAAGAAATTTTGTATGAATTTCAATCAAATTTGTTTTTATTCAACTTAAGAAATCACTTCATTAATGAAAGAAGTCGGGTTCACAACATATCCCGATCTTGAAACGAAACAACATGTTTACATGCGATATAAACATGAAGGTAGTCCCAAGTGGTATGTAAAATGCAATGAACTTGTGACACGATCTGATGGCGTAGTTTGCCGGTGTTCAATGCAAGAACAAAGGGAGGATCATTATAAAAACTGGCTTAAGACTCATGTTCACACATGCCAGGCCGGAGAAGCATTATCGCAGCAAACATTACTTGACTACTACAATAAAGGTAAACAGCCAAATGATCCAATGTTGGATTTATCGAATGTATACGATGAAATGACCATTTTTACCGGTAAGTTCAACCTTGCCTTAGACACATTTGCATCCCCAGAATTCACGCATGTTGCAAAGATTTTCATTATGTTCACAATATATCAAATGATGAACAAATACAAACAACTTCAGTCAGCTAATATCAATCCGGAAAAACTTGCTGACAAATTATATAAGCCTATTACACGTGATGAGATCCGAAATAGAATGATTGCTATTGCTAACAGCATACACCTTGCTAAAGTTCTCGAATTCGCCAAAAAAGCATACACTTGTGTCGCCATCGATGAAGGCAAGACACATGATTACCACAATCTTGATTTTGTCTTAACAAATCCGTTGGAGCAAATGAAGCCATACCCAGTAGAGGCGATAGATATGAAGGATGGCCAGACAAGTCAGGATTATAAATCCGCAATAACAGCAGGATTTAACAGAATTGACATTAGGAAAGTCAAGATAGGTAGTGTGGTAGTTGACGGAGGACCAGCACAGTTAAAATGCTTCAAAGATACTTGGAATGATTCATTCTATCATGACAGAGATCCAAAATACTACAAGATATTGCTTATTCCCTGTTTGTGTCACAGAATCCACAACAGCTATCAATATATTGCTGGCAAGAACAACCAGTTACAAAGTTTAGTAAAGGATGTGCACAGAATTGCAGAACTTTGTCGCATTCATGCTGACGATATAGGTGCACAATGTCCACAGCATGTATCCACCAGATGGATATATGACTATAATATATGTGTCTTTATTCTTAAGTACGAAAACAAAATCAAGCAATATATAAATGTAGATCACGATAAAATCGTACAATTGAAAGATTGTTTAGCTGTTCTTAAAAAGCTAATCTTAGTATTCGAATCGGATAAGGCATTGTTGGCAAATTGTTACATTTGGCTTCGTAAAGCCATATCAGCTCTCAATCTTTTGACATCCAATTTGCATAATGCATTCGGATCCATCTTGGCATCTTCATTGGATAGCTATACCTTGGACTCTGACTTTGGTGGGCTATGGTGTTTGGCATTCTCTCTCACGCCGAGAGGAAGGTTCTACTTCCATAGAAAGTTTGTTAAAAACGAAGAAGTAGAAGATTTGGCCGATCCCTTGAGTTCCTTTCAAAGTGAGCATATTCCTGATAAAGATCCGGCAGAAGATTTACAGGACATTTACATGGATTCTATTTTTGAGGAAGGTAACACAAACGCTGTAATTGATGTAACAGATGAAGGCACATTTCGTAGAATTGTCGAATCTGATGATCAACTTAGGCTTACATTGCAAGATGTACGCGAGGATAATCATCAGACTGCCGAAAATGATCTAACAGCAGCTAAAGATTACCTCAAGCGCATTTTGGTTCAATTCCGATTGAACGAAAGACAAAAAACGCTTGTACTCTCGTTATATAATACGTTCATCAATAAGGAATCAGACATCTTTGAGAACGATCTGATGGACGAGGCACAAAATTATGCTTGGGAAGAGATCTCGCATAGAATTGGAGAAAAATAGTTAGTATACAAGTCTCGTGTACTGTGGCACTGCGTTCCTCCGTACGCAATACTTGTGAATTTGACACTTTACAAAACCGTTAACGTATATTTTACAACACAAACGACAACATTAACTTAACCTTAAATATTTACAAAGCCGCCAACCACTTCACCTCACTAATGTTTTCACAAACGACTTCACTACTGTAAAAATAAACGTTCTCACTATCGTTCTCACTAACGACTTCACTAATGTTCTCATAAATTTTCCTCAATATCTTCATCATCAGTGTTAACCCTATTGTAGTCATACTTGAAGCCATAAACTTTCTCTAACTTCTTAACGTACAATTTACATAACTTACCTTCGTCATCGTATGGTTTAATGATATAACTATTTCTATCTTTATACACAGTCAATGAAAAGTCAACTGGTCTCGGATGTATTTGAAAGAACATGTTATGCTCAGGAAGGAAGAATAAATGTTTAAATGTATGTTTGTTATATTTTTCGATTTGTATGAGTTGCTTTTGTTCTGTCATTTACATCCAAATAAACTTAAAAATAAACTTAAAATTAATGATATCACCACTCCCACACGTATGAAAACATAGCGCAAAAATAAATTTAGGTGAAGTGGTGAAATCTCACCTCTTTTTTCACCTCTTTTTTCACCTCATGAATTCATTGCTTTATAACTCTCTTCCTTGGTTTCTTTTTAGTTGCTTTCTTCACGTCTGTCTCCAACTTGACTGTCTTTCTTCTTCGTCCGTAATGATACCAGTTACTTCCACCAGTCAATGGGTCAAATGGTCTTTCGTAAGGGTTTCCATACATTCCATAGGGACCATACGGAAGAACTGCTGGTGGAGGAAGAGTTCCATCGACTCTATTTAAATGCATTGTTTCACCTTTCATCTGGTCATTAAAGTCTTTTGCGTGTTTTGAAAACTCATCGTCCTTTCCTAAAGCATTTTCCGACTCAGTCGCAACCAAATTGGATGCTTTATTTATGAGCCCTATTTTATTTAATCTTAACTTCTTTGCAACCCAGCCTCCAATCTTTCCTTTATTTGCATCTAATGTCTTCGAAACTCTTCCTCCACTCATTTTATTTACTGCGTCATAAGCTCCAAGTGCTTTTGCTCCAAATGCTAATGCTTTTGTTCCCATTGCGCCTAAAGCTGCCCAAGCTACCATTTACACCATATTAAAATCATCTCTCTTCAATATTATCTCATAAAAGTTCTCGTTACTGGAGAAAGTCAATGAAACATAAACATTCTCACGGGCTTCGCCCTCACCGCTTTGCGGTCTATCTAACTTCTTTCTTATCTCATCTATTCGCTTCAAAATGTCTGAACAATTGCTAACATCTTCTACAACAGTTATTTCATCATGACTGACCTTCAAGAACAAGCTCATTTAATATGCAATTAAAATCATCTCAATAATGAGTCCATCCTTTCCATCTTTAGGTAGCACAACATCTTTCATTGAAGAAGGTTCGACAAGTCTTATGTTAAACTTACTGACAAAGTTTGTTATACTATAATGCTTCGGTGGCGAATACATGTAGTTTGAAAGACATAATATAGATTCTTCAGCAAATTCACTTATACTGGATTTTATAACAATGTTCTCACGAGACCAAATACCACCAATTGACAATCTTGTAAGCAATCCTGCTGAACCTTCTACTGTAAACATCGATGGTAACATTCCACGAAGGTCATCTATTGACATCGTTGAGTCACTGAATTTAAATATTTTCTTAAAGCAATCGTCATTATCTAACCATGCAATAGCTTTGAAGTTTTCATTCGAATATACATCTGCTTCATTAAATGTAAAACCTGACTTCTTTGCAGAGATGACTTTAAAATCTATTGAGTTTGTTTCAAAATTATATGCTATGGTAACTTCTGAAGGTAATGGATGCCCTTCCGCAGTAAGTTGTTCTCTCACTACCGTTTGAAGCTTTGTGTTAAAAACTTTCATGTCATCTCCTGTGTCTAGGTTCACATACACAGCAATGGGAAAACTATCTTGCTTCTTTGTTTCATCATTATACCTCAAAACATTAAAGTTCTTCAATAATATTGTCCTTCCTGCTGGAATACTTCGAACCTGTCTGATTTCAATAGCTTTCTCACCTCCTACATACTCTACCCAATGTCTTGGATATTCATAAGTATACTGACTTTCTTGAATTTTGGTTGGTTTCATCATAACATGTTCATAGTATATCTTTATACTCTTGTCAGTTAGACTCGGTGCTATGTTCTGAATATTTCTGACTTGCATTTTTAATGGAGATAAAATGAAGCATTTAATACATGACGTAGATGAAGACATGAATGAAACTACAGACAAACTTAACTCTTCTCTCATTCTTCCTTTCAGCAAAGATTATGAATTCTGTTCAAATGGTGTGTATTTCTATTGTGGAAAGATGGGTTCAGGTAAGACATTTAACCTCATTCGTCATATACTCATAACAGAGCGTTTAGGAAACGACTCTTACTATGACCAAATCATTATATCAGCAACTTCAGACTCTATGGACTCAACAGCGAAAACATTTATGTCAAAAGTTCAAGCCTCTGTCGTTAAAGTTCCAGACAGTGAACTCATTGAATTTCTTCAACGTTACATTCGACGTAAGAGGAAATATTATGCCATCGTTGAATTTATACAGTCAGGAATGCAAAAGACTTCAGAAGAGATGGAAAGAATTATTGACAAACACCACTTACGTCAATACTCAGGAGTTTACGATATGAAACGACTTACAAACTACATTCTGTCAAAAACTTTCAAAATACCCCTTTCAAAAAGTATCCTTCAAAATCTCTGCTCGTTTGCGACGGACTTTCGCACGGAAAGGTTTTAGTGTCAAAGCCTGACTCACCATTAGCTAACATCATTACTAAAGTCAGACATTACCACTTAACTGTAGCAATACTTATGCAAACATGGCGTTTTCTTGCTTTAAACATAAAACGTCTCATAACTGACTTCGTTATCTTTCAAGGTTTCTCACGTTATGATATTGAACTCATTTGGAAACAGTCAGGTATAACATTACCTTTTGAAGAAATTTGGGAAGCATATAAGTCTCTCATCTCTCCTCGTTCATACCTTGAGATTCATATCATGACTAATACCATTAAAGTCAAAAATATTCCATGGGAACGACCAACATTGTTTTAAAGTTTAACCTTCAATTGACTGATGGTAAACAAATTCCATGCATCTCTGTCGCCATTTCTGTTAATATTTTTGCTGTCATTCATATCATCCACTTCCCCATCCGTTAGCTTTTGAGGATATGCGTTAGAATAGCTGTTCTTAAATGAAGGCTTTTCACCTTTGAGAGCATAAACTCTATAACTTTCTGCATACTTTATGTTTGAACCTCCTGAGCCATCATTGACATAAATTTTTATAGGCTTCCACCCTTTGTTCATGTTCCTGCTTCTTCCCTTAGCTCTTTTGTTCAGTAGTTCTACATCTTTATACACAGCACCTGTCTCAGTGAATTCAACAATATTTTCATTCGTTAGCTTTACATTCAAACCCTTGTCGAGTATATTGTTCATTTCATACATATAAAAGGTTTTTATTCTATATGAAATGAGAAGCAAATCCATCTTAGCTGGTGCCGTTAATGTTCCAATTGAACCAACATCAAATGTTGACTCACGAACGACAAACAATATTGTCATAAAGAACTATAGTTCAGAGTGTTTGAAAGAAAAAGAACCAGAACTGAAATCCGTGAATTTAAACTCAGCTTCAAACGCTAACGCTACATCAGATGTTAAGTTAGAGTATCCACCACTGGACCAAATTCTTTCAAGAGAAGCCAACGACAACCCTTACACAAATGTTCAAACAAATCCTTCAGATAACGTAGACCATTACCTTCTTCAGTTATACCAAACAATTTTACTCAAAGACGATAAGAAGCTTTTGACAAATCTTATAAGCAAGAACCAAATAATTCTAACAAAGGAGGACCTTGAAAATGTTATATCACGAATAACAGGGAAACAATGTGTCATTGACTATCTCGACCCTGAAATCGAATGCTGTGGTCAAACGCCACCATTCATGAAAATAGGTAACATCCGCATCATTGAAACACCAGGAACTACAGGAGTTGAGTTTAAGTATAAATATTCGAACGAGTATACAAAACTTTCAACAGAATATAAGCTTTGTTTGAAATATGTTTTAGTAAATTAAAGCAATTTGTAATATCTATCCAAAACTTCTTCAACAGTATCGAACTCATCTTCATAATGCAAACCTAATCTTATTGACTTGGTGCAGTTTTCACTAACACAATATAGCGCTTTGCGCTCGGCGCCTTTGACGCCTTTTTCTGTTCTCTTGACTGACATAACTAACTCATTTGTTTCATCAAACAGCAATAACCAAAGTTCATGACCTAATACATAACATTCATACTTTATATTTTTAGCTCTGAGTTCTCTTGTAAGCTGTTGCATTTAATATTTTCTAAAAAGTCAACTTCAACAGTCATTCGCACTGGTGCCTTCAGTTCTACAGGCTCTCCTTGAAAGTCAACAAGTCTGAATTGCATGTCTTTCAAATTATGAGGACTAATGCGAACCCATTTACCTAAATGAGTTACTATGACAGGAACGTTTGGAATGAACATTGAATTGACTGCATAACAGAAGGATTTATATTCTACTGAACCTTTACTATTAACTCCTGAAATACCTGTGACATTAGCTATTTTTGACTCAACGTATAAACAATTACCATAACATACGTATGGAACAGATTTCATCTCAATCGTTTTGTCAACACTTTTCAAAGGACATGTCATATGGTATGCTCCCAGAAGCAATTGAACTCTATGACTCATTCGTGTTATCTTAAACTCCTTCGCATAACTGAACTTCAAAACTCCTGCAATAAGTTTAACATTCATTAAGTTTTCTTCGTTCTCCTTGTTTATTGTAGTATTTATGAGCGCATTTAACACTCCAGCTAATGTTTCCATCTTATATTCTACATTATTGTGAAATCTTATTTCGTGCTTCTTTCCATCTATTTCAAGCTCCATGAAATCTGTTTCATCTGTTATAACGAATGAAGCGATAGTATTGAAGTCAACAACTCTGAAAGCAAGCGCTTCATTCTGAAGACCTAAGTTTGTTTGTAGCTTTACTGTCCCGTATTCGTTTGGGTCTGTACTTTGCAAATAGAACAACATTTTATTCTCATTAAAATATGAGTATTGCTGCATATGCGTATGAAGCTGACAGAGCTAAACGTTTATATTTTGGTCAATACTCTCTCACACTTACTGACAAATATATTGTTATTTCTGATGGAAATACCGAGAAATACATAACATGGAAGGACTATGAAAAGTTTGACCCTATTTTAACTCCATGCACTATGCCATTCATTGTAAATGGTGAAGTTGTCATGAAGAACGACACAACTGTTTATAGGTCTGTATATGAAGCGTTAGAATATATGTTGAATTATAATCCCGAAAGATTTGACCCAAGCACTACGTCATGTACAATGCCTTTTATTAAGGATGGTGAAATCGTAAGAGTTCCGAATTCAACGGTTTACACAGCTGTTCAAAACAGTTTACAAAACATTTTAGCGAATATCTTTAATTCAGAAACTACAGAAATAAAATTACCATATATAACAGATGCTAAAGAAATTAAATCAAAAACGACAACATTATTTACGTCACTTAATGATTTAATGACTTATATCATTAATATTCCTGCACCAACTACAGCATTTGATCCAAACTCGACGGTTTGCAGTGTACCTTTCATAAAGTCGCAAACGGACTCTTTGAGTCCTGAAGGTCTTTCAGACCGAAGCGACCAGGGCGAAGCCCATGACAGTTCATTAATTGTTTTAAGGGATTCAACAGTTAATGAATCATTAAAGGCGTCATTAATGAAAATCATTGATTTTAATTCATTCACGAATACATATAATTCATTCATTAATGTTTCATATGCTTCTAAAGAAGGTGAGCCAAAAACTATCGATAAAGCGGTGTATGAAATAAAAGCATCAACGACGAAATTGAATTCGTTAACTTTTGACGGTGATAGTTTCGTTAATGACATAACATCGGGGAAAACAATTTTAACGAAAGAATATTTAAAATCTCATGTTAGTGAGTTCGTTGAAATTGAAAAAGAAGGTGGAATTAAGTTCGATCCACTGAATTTCATTTTCAGCTTAGCGAATGCGGGTGTTAGTTTCGCTGAATGGACAACTATACAGAGTGAAATAAATGCAATATGGACGTTTTTGGGGTCAAAAGCGGGAATGGGTGAGCTTGTAAATGCTGCAAGAACATTAGGTGAAACAGGAAATTTTGTAGATGGTTTTAAAAGACTTGTTTCAAATGTTTTAACAAACACAAAGAAATTATTTAGATATACCATACATAACGGACGGATTTTCGAACAGGTAGCAACAAACCCTCCGGTTATGGCTGCGTTGATGATGGTTAGAGATATAAAACCACGTAACGACGGGAACGAAGAACATGAACAACAGAGCCCAACGGGCTCAGAGCCACATAGTGGCGAGGATACTGGTCGGGTTATTCAAGACATTAAAAACGTGTATCCTGAAGTTATTGATTTATTTAGAGGAGTTAATGATTCAATTTCAAAACATTCTATAACCCTCGATGAAGAGAATAAATTAACAGATTATATATTCGTCATTATTGCAGAATTAATGAAGAGAATAAATGAAAAAGGAATTGGTGATATCATTAATGTCAGCGATGTAATGATGAAAAGAAATTTTGACTCATTATTTACAAAACCGAAAACAGAATATAGTCTTTATGACGTAATTACCGAATTAATGAAAAAGATTAATGATAATAAGAGTTCTGGCGGAAGAGTTGAATTAGAAGTGAATGATGTTAATGAGAAATTAGCCGAAAAAGCAGATAAAAACCACGTTCATTATATAACTTCAGACGAACAGATTATAACGGACTACCATGGATATTTAACACGAAGTGATGAAGCGAAGACAAAAAATGTTAATGAAAGAAGATATAAATACATTCGTGCTAAAGGTTATGACATAAGCTGTACTGTACAGTATGACACAGGTAAAGCACCAGAAGCATTTAGTTATAACGATGAAATTTATGCCTCTACTTTCTCTGTTAATGGTGTATTAGTTGAACCAAGATTTATGTTAAGAGTTAAGGCAAAAATAACGTTTGAAGATGCTATTAAAAGTAAAGCTGACAAAGTTGAACTTGACGCAACGAACAAAGTTTTGAAATCTCATAAACACAACATCTCCGATATAAATGAACTTCAAACTTCTTTAGACAGTAAAGCTGACAAGAACCATACACATAAATCCTTCACTACTGTTAGAGCAGACGACATAATATTGAACTTTGACCTTGGTTCAAGTGCACCATTAGAAAATCCAAGTACAAGCGTAAAAGATACTCTTAACAGTTTAGATAACAGTTGCAGGAACATTGAAAGTCATGCCAGAAACTTTGAAGCACATGAACTACCAGCAATGTTAGATAAGAAAGCAGACAAGAACCATACACATAAATCCTTCACAACTGTTGCTATAGAAAGTATTGAAGGAACGGTTGAAGAAACTGGTGGGGAGGGCGGAGCCCCGCCGCACGCGGCTGCATTATATTGTAAACCTCCTAACTTTCCACAAGGTTTAACATCGGATGACGACATAACGACGATGAGAAACATTAGATGTAAAGATGTTTATGTCATGAAGGATGAACATAATATTAAATTCACTGCTCAAGATTTATATGACAAGAAAGCAGACAAGAACCATACACATAAATCCTTCACTACTGTTAGAGCAGACGACATAATATTGAACTTTGACCTTGGTTCAAGTGCACCTTTAGAGAATCCGAGTACAAGCGTAAAAGATACTCTTAACAATTTAGATAAGAGTTGCAGGAATACCGAAGATCATGCCAGAAACTTTGAAGCATATGAACTACCAGCAATGTTAGACAAGAAAGCAGATAAAACTTATGTGGATGCAGAACTAACAAAGAAATTTTCGAAACCAGATACAATGACATTTACAACAGAAATTATAAATGGTGAACCAGCAACTCCATTTGAATTTGTTAGAGGTCTTCAACCAGATACTTTTGAATTTTTCTTGGATAATTCTATTGAACTAACATTACATTATAAAAGTGGAACAAATGCAACATTTCATCCGGGAGATACATTCCAAATGGTATTTAATGACATAAGTTCTTTAGAATATGTTTATAGAGTTATGAGCATATATGATTTAATATATCCTATAGGAGCTGTTTATACGTCTATGAATCCAATAAATCCAAACACTTTATTTGGTGGTAGATGGTATGAAATAGTTGACAGTTTTCCATTCTACACTAATACGCAGTCAATGAAGATGGGAGGTTCAAAGAAAATAGGTATTGAAAACCTTCCTTCACATATGCATAGGTTCAGTGGAAGAACATCTGTGGAAGGAAACCATTCACATTCAATAACAAAAAGAGGTTATACAAATCTTGCAGCGGGTTCGGATAGACAGGGAATGCATAGATATGATATCACAACTGACCCCAAAGATGTTAGCACAGGTATTTTCTGTGGAACTGCAGGAAATCATACACATGTTGTAGCTGGTATTACAGACCCAGCAGGTAATGGAAAAGATTATATGCCTCCTTATATAACAATGCACGCTTGGATACGAGTTGGTTAAAATCTTTAACTTTACATAAATGAGCTTGAAAGAAGTATTCGAACAACATCCATGGAGGTCATTTAAGAAGTTCAATGAAGCTGCAAAGAGTTCGGGATTTACTAACAGAGCTGAAGTGAAAAGGTTCTTTGACAAAAATGTTGTACATCAAACAAAAATAAATCCTTACGACTACTTTTTACCAATTTACTCCAACACTCCTGACGCATACCAATTTGACACTCTCATTCAAAGCAGAAAAGGAGGACATAAACCATTCCTCATCTTCATAAATGTTAACACTCGTAAAGCATATGCGTATATAATGAGAAATAAAGGAACTCATGAAGTGTTAAGAGTTTTACAAAAGTTTGTAGAGAACATAGCCCAAGTATTTTAACATCAGACCAAGACGGTGCATACCTCAGCAACGAAATCACAGAATTTCTCATTAAGCATAACATAACTCACTACACTACTGAAGACCATAACCATAACATACTCGGTATCATTAACCGCTTCATAAGGACTCTCAGAGATTTAAATCAAGAGCGAGACTTTACCGAAGAAACAATGAAACATTTTCTCGAAGTATATAATTCCTCAACACATTCTACAACAGGACATACACCAAATTCAATGACACAACAACAAGAAGAAAAGTATATACAAAAGAAACGAAGCCAAACACAAAATATCAGAAATTCAACACAATTTACTCTCATTCCTGGTACAAAAGTTCGTGTAGTTCTTGACGACAAACCATTGACAAAGAAACGTTTAAGGTTAAGTCGAAATTATTATATCGTAGACTCTACGCAAGGTAATGGATATCTTATAAAAGCTGCTGACGACTCCATAGCATTTTACCCTCGACATAAATTAGTCGAAAGTAGTAATGGCAAACTTGCTGAAACCATTGACGAAGCAAAGCGAGGAGTGGTTATTGAAATACTTGACTATAACACAAACGATGACACTTATAAAGTAAGATATGAAGGAGGCGTTGAAGATGTTATACCATCTAAGAACTTGAGAGAATCTAAACCAACTCATCTGGGACCATTAGAGCGGGAGTACTGGAAAGATAAAAACATGCCAGAAAGAATAAGAAAATTCTTCTAAACTTTTTCGTTGGATGTAAATCAGACAAAAATATAATTTAGGTGAAGAGGTGAGATTTCACCTGTTTTCTCACCTCTTTTTTCACCTCTTGAACTTTTTATAACATTCGGTCATAACTTCATCAATTTCATTTAAATCACGATTTAAAAACTCATTGACTTCATCTTCAACCGTGTCATCTTGTAATAAGAATATTTTCTTTAGTTTCATGTCAACATCCCGAACAGCACAAAGGATAAAATCATATTCATTTCTTCCGTTAAACATACTTTTTCTTTCTCGTTCATCGTTAAATAAATTATTGAAAATATAAACAGCGGTGTAAAAGTTATGTACTGTGTTAAATGTTGAAGCTTCACCTATTTTAGATTTTAGGATTCTTTTAGTAAGTAAATTGTTATCGTTCTTTCTCTTTTCCTTATCGTTCATGTCGAATCTGTCGAACCACATATCCTGTATTTCATCGAATTTACGAACTATAGAATCCGTCATTTCCCTGGTTAATGAGGGGTAATCATTATTAATTTTTTCATATAATTTGTCCATATGATTTTCATCGACGTTTCCGGAAAGCATTTAATTAAAGCAAAAATATATTATAGGTGAAGAGGTGAGATGTCACCCGTTTTCTCACCTGTTTTCTCACCCCAGTTTTTCACAAGCGTTTTACATGAATTGTACGATGTATATTTGAAATCCTAAACAATTTCGTAGCTTCTATTTCTTCTGTCAGTATGTCAAAAGTTTTAACAATGCCGAAAGTTTCTTTATATTTCTTCTTGACGTCAGATAGAAGGAAATCGTCAGCAGTTGGATAGTTTTTGTTCAGAAATGCTAACATGTCCATTTTATTTTCTGCTGGCTTTTCTGCTTCTTTCTTTAAGTCTGCATAGTCGTTTCGCATTCTTTCTATCTCTTTGACGGAGTAGTTATATTTCCTAATTGCTGCTTTACATTTAGAACATTGCGGATTCATTTTTGCGTTATATTCTGAAACCTTACCTGCTAAAACAACTAAGGCGTCAATGGTTTTCTTTAACTCAAAAGCAGTTGGTCTTATCTGTTCGTTCCATATTTTACCTCTTCTATCTTTATCTCTTATCTGCCATACACATTCAGCAACTAACGAAACAAAGTTATCGTAGGTCTTAAACTCCCCGGATTTATATATGTCAGAAACATTCTTATATACCATGTCGCAATCTTTGTCCATAACCTTATGGTTGCAATGAAATCCTAGAAACTCATAGTTTACCTTTCGAATGAACTTCTTTATTTCTACTGAGTCAGTTGGTTTCACTTCTATTTCATCGAATTCAGGAATAGTTAGTTTTTGATGCTGAATTTCAGGTAGTTTAGGTAAATGGTCAATAATGTCCTGCATTTCATAAAGATACTGTTCATTTGTTTCATCTTTCGCACTACAGTCTAAATTACTTGTTAAAAGTTCTTGCTTTATCTTCTGGATTTTTGTTTCGAAAGTATATGAAGAAGGAATGAAGCTTTTCATCTCTACTAACATAGATGTTGGATTCATGACTAACGAGTTTGGTGAAGTTGTTGTGGACAGAGTCCCGCCGTTCGCGGCTTGAATTGTTGTTGTGCCGATTGTTGAAATCATATCTTTACATACAAAATAAAAAAATAAATAAAAATAAAACTAACGTTATTTTTCTATCTTAAGGGAAAATTCATGAGGGTGAGAAATTAGGTGAAAAAAGAGGTGACATCTCACCTCTTCACCTATAATATATTTTTGGTCATTTACACTCATTTACGAAGAAGTTATGACAAAGCATTTACGAAGAAGTTATGACAAAGCATTTACGAAGAAGTTATGACAAAGTCATGAGGGTGAAAATTAGGTGAGAAAACAGGTGAGATGTCACCTCTTCACCTATAATATATTTTTGGTCATTTACACTCATTTACGAAGAAGTTATGACAAAGCATTTACGAAGAAGTTATGACAAAGCATTTACGAAGAAGTTATGACAAAGTCACGAGGGTGAAAAAAGAGGTGACATCTCACCTCTTCACCTATAATATATTTTTGGTCAAAGCTTCCACGAGAGAAAAGATTCCTCATTCGCTAAGGATTCCAAAAATGAAAAAATCATTGATTTCGGCTGAGAAAAAACAGCAAAACCCTTCTTCCACGGGAACAAAGAAATAAAGAAGAAATAAAGTAAATTTTTTATTTATTCCCGTGGAAGATAGAGCACTTTTATGACACTTTTTATTCACGACAAACAAGACAAATAAAGAAAATAAGAAAATACGGCGCTGTCGCGGTTCGAACCACAGACCTTGACCCCTCCATAACACCACCTTAGACCACTGTGCTACGTAGCCTGTCGACATAAGATTTTATAAATTGCATATTTGACGTAAATTTATTTCCATCTGGCTTCCCACTGCATAAGATATTCATACGTGTTTGTAAGACATTCATTAAACTTCTTTTCTATTGCATCTAATCTTGCGTTATTTTTTTCAATAACTTGTCTGTATTCTTCATCATCTCCAGCAGTGTTTGGGTCTTCACGTTTAAAATATTCATTGTTAACCAATTTTTTATCTACAAATTTTATTAGTGTTTGATTCACTTCGTTATGATAACGGTCATATTCTTTCAATACGTAAGTGAAGACAAAATGCGTCGTACCTTCAATCTTAAAGCTTAAAGAACTTTCAACACAGTTTTGAGGGTCTGTCAGTGCGTCAATGAGATAGTATTCGAAGTCAGTCAATAATCTTTTTAAAGTCATTTCATACAGGATAAAATTTAATGTTGTGAAGAAATAGTGTTTATCTCAGAAAAAATAAAGTTAGTTTTTATTTTATTTATTTTTTTATCCTGTATGTAAGAACAGTAATGTCAACATTAGAGAACACAACAACTGCTATCGTTCATGAAGCCATAAATGAAGAATACGAATACATACAATATAACAAACAATTGAGACTCATTCGTTCAGTCAAAGATGATATGTATCAAATGCAAAGTATAATGAACGCTCTTCGTTCTACAAAGCAAGCATATCATTGGTTTGAAAACCAACAGGCAAAAGAACTTTTAGAAGAATTTCCTCATATGATTGCTTCCTCGGAAAACCGAGGGAAGAGATTCCGTACGAAAATCGCAAGAATTTGGCACCTGGTTTGAAAGGTTATTATGTTCATAGACTTTTAGTAAATGCTGTAGCAATGTGGGCTTCACCTCGTTATGCTTGTTATATTTTCATGATGTTAGATGAACTATATAAAGCAGAACGTGGAGAGATGGAAAAGAAACTTCAAGCAAAAGATGAAGTCATTGAATCCAAAGACAAAAGCATACAGAAAAGAATACCACGTTCAGTACCAAAAGGAAAGGAAAAGAGTTATAAGTATATGATTTATACTGAAGAGTTGGAGAAAGAAGAAGATAGAGATATGGTTATGTTGCATTTAGTCAGAAGAAACAACAAAAGCTTTTACGACTTAGCTAAGATATATAAATCTGACAGAAACTGGTTCTATCGTGAAAACTTACCGATTTCAATGACACCGAATGAGCAAATAAAGGAAATTGTCAAAAATACTCTTCCTCAAACACACTATGACATCAAAGGTTGCACAATACTTACATTCAAAGAAGACTTAACATTACTGAAAGAAAAGATAACAGAATATTTCGATAACTTCAAAGAGGAAGAATGAAGTCACGACAACATTAACGAAGAAGTCACGACAACATTAACGAAGAGAGAATGAGGTGAAAAAAGAGACCCAAAGGGTCAGAGCCGCAAAGCGGCTAGGTGATATCTCACCTCTTCACCAAAAATATATTTTTGGTTAAATAGCTTCAGGGTCAATTTCTTCAACCATTTCACTTCCTTCGTCAATGTCAATTGAAGCTTCTTCAACCTTTGGTAAGAACTTTGTATAACATCTTTGTTCGTTATTGTCTTCAGAGATGAAGGATAATATTTCACAGATGTTTCACCCTTCTTATATTCTTTCTGTTCGGAAAGATTCATAGCAATACTGAAGAAGTCAATGTTGGAGTTCTTTATGACAGTATAGTGTGTATCTTTGACATTCACGAAGAAACCCTTTTGTTTCAAAACTACTGCTAACCTTGTGAAGTATAACGTTTGCGGTCAATGACGATAGCTAATGGTCTGACATACTGACCAAACTTAGATTCTTTCACAAACTTCTTGTTAAAGATAACATTAACGTTTGAAGCATTATTGAACTCATTCTTGATGGCAGTAGCGAGAGCATTGTATGAAAAGAACTTGCAATCTTGCATGTGTTTCATTAAAATAAAAATATTAAATTATTTTGAAAAATAACTTAAAAAAAATCTAATCTAATTTTTTCAAAAAATATTTTTTTATTTCCTACTAAAGATGTATCGGAAGTTGTCTAAGTTAGAACACTCGGAAATAAAACAACTTCTTACAGAAGCTAATATAGATGTTGCAAAGCATTACGCAACAAACAAAAAGCACTCGCTGACTTCATTAAAGACTATAATGGTGCAATAAGTTATGATAGAATTCATGAGTTCATAAAGCCGCAACGCGGCGAGGACGAAGTCCATGCAAGAGCATTTCCTTTAAATGACATTGCTATTGACTTATATCATAGACGTTCAGTACCTCATGAAGTAAGAAGAGAGATGTTTGACATAACAAATGCAAACGTTGGTGAAACAAGAAGAGCTGTACCTCATGAAGTAAGAAGAGAGATGTTTGACATAACAAAGCCGCATGACGGCGCGGGCGTAGCCCATGCAAACGTTGGTGAAACACGAAAGAGAGATGACACACTGAAACAACAGAGAAGAGAGATGTTTAAAAGTGCTATAGAACAAGTTCGCAAAGCTAACGATGTCATTCGTTCCATTGACGACAAACCAAAAGAAGGTGAGAGATGGTTAAAGAAAGATGAAGAGAATAGGAAGAGAAATGTGAAGTCAGGCAATAGACTCATTGACTTTAACATCGAAGCTTTAGATGAACCAAACAGAGACTACTTACACAAACATTTCGGTAAGGTTTTCATGAGACTCTTAGAGAAAATTAAAATAAACTCGCAACAGAGATGGATGGTATGTTATAAACTTGGTGGAAAGTATGAATGTTCTACGTTAAACCTCAATAATATTGGAACATTACTACATCAGCTCTTGAAGGAGAACTTTATATCAGAGATAGAAGCAAATGCTGCAGGTATTGTTGAAATGCACTATGACTTCTTCTTGACAAACATAAAGAATCTTACCGAAATAAAGATGTATGATTTAACAGAATATGAAGGCTTAACGATGTCAGATGTAAAGAAAGGCAAACCAAAAAAGAGACCATATAGAGATGAAAGCACACTGACAAATGACCAGAAAGCCATTTTGGAAGCTCTTAAGCAAACAGGAAACCCAGCACTTATAGAAAGCTTTTGGAAAGATAATGGTGAAAAGAAGTTTTATAAGAAGAGAAGCGGTCAGTTCTTCTGGAATATCTTTTGACATTACCTATAAATCTTTGAATCGCTACCAGGAAATCTTCAATGAAACTGAACAAAAGAATGCAACACTTATGACAGAGGACAATTGGTTCGTGTTATTGCTCTGCTTCAGGCTGGAGTAATAGTGAAGAAACTCATTGACGACACATGAAGAAGGGATTTTTATGTCTGTGTTAGAGACTTTCCTCCAAAGTAAAGTCTAAGGAAGATTTCTCGATTCAACAGGTATAGCATTTAATGTTACAATTGGTTATTTCAATGGATAAGACATATGAAATAAAGGAATATAATTACCAAAGATGGCGAAAACTGTTAGAACTATTGACATTACTTCTTGTTGACGACTACAATGCTAAATGAAAGATTACCAATTGACAACAGTACTTCAATTCGAAAACTATACTAGAATTCATTGAGGTGTGTGGAATGTAAATTGGAGACCAGATGAAGATTTATACAAAGAGAGGAAGATAAAATGAGTTCGTTAATGATAGAACAAAACCCGCTATGGGATTGTTATGAAAACATTTGTGGGAGCTTGCAATATTTCGAACTATTTCTTATGGAGAAGAACTTTTCACCATATACTACTGATTTATATAAACAAACCTTGACCATTTGAAAGATTTTTGCTATTGGTCCAAAAGTTATTTGTGTATCAACTGAAGAAGAACTAGCATGAGGTCAAAAGAGTAACATGAAGCTTAAATTGTAATTTCATTCCTGTGAGCACGTTTCTTTGCTGACTTTGAGCTGTAGCACAGGACGGCTTTCATAAAGCTTGTTAGACTTCATCTGTTATGACAGTGAGAAGAATGATTCAGTGATAGTGAAAAGAACATTACGGAGGTCAAGCAGAACTGTGCAACCCGAATTTTTTGGAAAGAGCCTGACGGTTCTTAGTATTATTTCCTACAGCTCATTCGAGCTGTTATGAATAGACATACTTCATCTCTTAAACACATGACAGAAGGAAAAGGAACTCCCATCATTTAATGGTTCACGAACCATGCAAATAACTGGGTTTTATTTAAAGGACGGGCAATTATTATAAAAGACTCTTACAGTGTTATAATAAAAGCTTAAACTATTTCCTTGCTATGTTTAACTTACAAACAGGACGAAGAAGTATTTCCATATCAACTACTACAGCAGTGTTTTGTTAGCAAATGACAAAGAATGGTTGTCATTTTGAGCATGTAAGTTTATCCATGATGCAGATACATTCATGAAAAACATAGATTCATCAAAGGTTAGCAGAATAGATTGAAAACCACTTCGACTTAGAAAAATATAGCACGTTTCTGCAACAAGAATGTAAGAATTTTAAGAGAAGGTTTTGTTAATAGTTCAATACGGAGCAATGACTTTATTGAAAGAGTTTGATTTAAAAACGTGTATGACTACGTTAGTATTTTGTTCATAATTGCTACAAATTGTTTTGAGAACAAGTATACTTCCCCGAATGGAAATCTTTATGACCTCTCAATAAACAAGAGAATTTATTTTCGAGATGCATTCAGGTGGTCGAAAAAGAATTGTATGTTGTCAGATAACATGAAACAAGAGGCAGAAAATAGAAACTCATTGCTGACTTCGACCTGTTTGACACTTATAATCCTTCCGTGCTTATAGCAAGGGACTTGTATACTTGATATTGAGAGTAGAGTTTCCAAAAGATGTTTGGAGAGGACAAATGTTAAGAGGTGCACGAGTATCTCATGGAGACATTTATTGAAATTAGTAATGACCAAATTGGATGGAAGGGTGGACGAAAAAGCGTCGATGATGTGAAGAAGTTTATGTCATGGCTTCGTCTGTTCCTATTAAGATAACAGGATTGGTATATTGAGGGAATGATGAGCACTCAGACAGCATATATACACAGGATCTGTGGTGAGATGCTACAGATTAACGGTTCACGGACTTGAGGAGGTTTCAATTTAATCGTTTGGGCGACCTTTGGAATATACAATCCAGAAACTTAACGTTCAAGAAGGTTTCACCCTTGCCTGTTCAATGATACTGTTGAATAGTAAAGAATATACCATTACACATTTTTAGACTGACTTTTCAGTAAGGAGATGATCAATTGAGAGGTGTAGTGTGAGAGTTTGTTCGCATGGATCTAGTTTATGTTGAAGGACCGAAATGGCATTAGCGGGCCTTAAGTGAGCAATAGAGATGAGTAAGAGTTGTTTGAGGTTAAGGGTTAAAGGTAATGGAGTAAAGGAAGGGAAGACCACCCTTTCACAAGAACTTATAGAAAGTGCATTCTCTGATAACTGAGCCTTTAAATGGGCACTATAGCTGAGGTCGTCGCTATTGAGAGTCAAAATAACGCATTGAATGTAGAGGCGTAACATGAGCAAAAGATGCTAATAAGAATCTATACGCTGATAATTTAAACATATAGTGAAGTTTCGAAGGTCTGTGGATGGTTCAGATAAACACTATTTTCAAGCTAACGAAGAAGCTGTGGTGCAAGAACTCTTTAACTTTGTCCACTTGGTGTTAATATTCGTTATGTTCAATGTTAACGTAGTTATTGAATGAAGTTTCTTGTTTACTGCTGAAGATATGGAGGCGGGTTTTCTTAAAATCGCTATTTAACCTAAGGAGGGTGTGAGAGAGGGTTGTGCCGGGACAGGATAATGTGAAGGCATTATGTAATGTGAACTGATGAAGTCTCAGCAATCGTAGCAGCAGAGTGTTTAGAAGAGAGTAGAGTTGGTCGGACTAGGATGTGAATGTGTGAGGGTGGAGTAGAACGTTCGGTGGTGCAACTCTCTCATGAGAATGCAGGAACCTA